TGCACTTTGACTTCCATGTAATCGCAAGGGGGCTCAATATTGACATAAAACTGAATGAAAGATAATCTTTCTTTTATCGATGAGTAGGTGGTTTCGTGGAAACCATTGTGATTTTTAAACACGCGGTCAGCTTCCGCGAGAGTCTGTAACCAAGAAATCTTCAGAAACTGCTTGAAGTTTTGACGGACAATCGGATGACCCGAGAATATTTCCGAATTATTGGACTCTGCCACTTGTTTGAAATTCTCAATGGCCACCACAAAGCCAAACACGCTTCAGTGACGAAAAGATAATCCTTTAGTGAACTTCAATTTATCGAGAGAGCGCTTTTGTGTGTAATTTTGTATTTGGCTTGGTTTTGCCTTCGAAGTTCACCGACCCTACCAAACTTCTTTTACGACGTAAAATCAATCGCAGCTCGAAGCAAAAACGTGCAGCCCGTGCAAAGTGCGGGAAGTGTCTCCTAAGCCATGTCACGTGTGGTCCTAATGTTATACGTGATTTGCTAAAAAAAAAGCTGGTTACCTGTGACTGGTGAGTGTGTGGTGTACCCGTTTGCAGAGATCTAAAAATGCAAAATGTAAATTAACTTTGGAAAACAGCTCAGTGACTTGGAATACGTTTGAGCGTGATTTGAACCCACGTCAAGACCTTTAGGATGAAAGTAATGTTAGTAACCAGATTTGAAATTTCCGCATAAAGACTGAACTTTTGAGGTTAATAAGTTGCTTATTGTAGGTCCTTTTTGCTTTGGTGTTGAGGCCTGTGAATGGCTCGTGGGCATTACAGGAAAATAATTTCCTAGAATCAGCCAATCAGAGCGCGCGTTATATCGGTTACAAATACTAGCTATGTAATAATGAAGCGCACTGTTTTGCGACATCTGCTTCATAATCGAGCTACTTACTAAATAATTAACAGTGCTTATGTGCTAATTTACCATTGGTATTCCAAAGGTGTTTTATGAATGTGGTTTACTTCCCGCAGGTTAATTTGATATTTATCAAGGATAATTCTCATTTTATCATTGTTTCATGTTCTTTAAAAGTGTGGTGTTTGGCTGACACCCACAATCGTTTGATATAAATAGCCAAAATTTAAGTTCTAAATCGCTTGTGTTTTCTTCCCTTTCTGCCTCGTCGTCATAGCAACTGTACATAAGCCATGATATCGTACAGAAAGAAATATAATTCAAGTTGTAGTCAAGGTATTTTTTAAGCTAAGTATGAGTTTAAAAGTACATCCCACAGGCGTCTCTTCGGTAACATCGAAGGAACTCCGGGAAATACAGAAACTGCATGAACTTGGCAAAAAGTATTGGGTAAGTAATGTAGGTCCCGACTTGACAAGGTTTGAACCTTGTCAAGTCACTGTATTTCCATACGTCTAGCTGATATAATAATTTTATTTGCACAAGTGTTTTTTGGAATAAAGCAATTTTAGAGACACATTTTCAGGTTTTCGTTTGATGAGCGGAACTCTTATTGGATCTCGGTAACCATTGCTAAATTACAATCAACTATAACATAACCGTCCCTTCGATTATTAAGCGCTGAAAATGAAGAGACATTCTTTCATGAATTTTACATTCCCTAGTGTTTTCATAGAGTAATGATGTAAAGAATAACATTTCATGGATGTTAGCGATACGTTCCGCTTAGTAAACAATTTTTGGACGAACTTCAGTTAGTGAAATAACTAGACATCGAAAGCTCATATACTTAGCTATTGAATTCAGTTAACACTTCACTTCCCAAGTTTGAGAAACGTTATTTACTCCATTGTCTGCATTTTGTGTGAAAAGATTTATGATTGAAAACATTCAGTTTTGTTTTGTTTTAAAAGATTTTCCCTCGAAAGTTTTATTATCAAGACGACTAATCATCTATCATAAGAAATTCATGGTAGCTGTCTTAAGAAATAAGGAAACGGCAAATCACGCAGATGATGATTCATTCGGTCAGCGATCGCAAGCTACTTGATAAATAAAAAAAGAGTTCCTTGTCCTGCTACAGGAATCAACCAATAACCTTCCATACACTGGTCGCACTGAACGACTAAGAGACTAGTAAGATTAGGTCACAGTTAACTAGATTCAAATGTCGCATATACTGTGAGGATTGCTTTTTTTTAAAAAATGTTGATATATACACTGTAGGCCATTAGCCGTTCTTTTTATATACGTTATGTCATTCATTTAATAATGTAAAACAGGAATAAATGTTAGCTCGTGCATATGACAAAAAAAAAACCTTTTTTTAGCCTGCAGCTGATAAAAGGCGTTACGAGAAAGAGGAGAGTCGTCCGGAGCCCCGTCGCAGTAGATACCTGTTTCGTCATCCCTACTCCAGGCTCATCACGGCTTACTTGGTAGTGTTCTGTAACTTCCTTATCTTCGCCGAGGACCCAGTCTCTCACAGTTATCGTGAATGCATTATCGACGTCATAGGAGATATCTATACTTTTATATTTATAAGGTAAGGCATCCTTTTCTTTGTTTGTTTGTTCGTTTGCTTTCTCTGTTTAGTTAATTGTTTGAGCCTGTTATTTGAATTACAATGACTAATTCAATCGGAATTTCGTAGACTTCTGGAGCAGGTTCTTCTTAATGGTCTCTATACATCAGGCGATGATGAAGGGTGAGAGTTGAACCCCCATATCGGTCTTATTTCCAAGGCCTCTCTCAAGGTATTTTTATCCATGGCACCCAATTCACCCAACAATAAGTTGGGATGGTTTACCTTGGGGATGAAGATTGACTCTCTTGCCTTCACCCACTCTTGCATGTATATATTCCTTTTTTCGTAGTTCTGTTTAGAAGGGTTTTGAGAACTGTTACAATGTTTATCCTTTCCTTTTCAGATGGCCAAGAGGCTCCTTTTCGCTCATTAAGTTCAGCTGCTGGATGTTTGCTATCCTCCTTGGAATGTGCGTCGGTAAATGGATTATTCATGGCTGGTTCTTCTGTAAAAAGCTCAAGCTTAAGATGTTCACAGAAGACGGACAAGGCTCATGGATGGTCATGTTCCTCACCGCGCTGTTCTCGCTGTTCTGCTTTAGTTTTGCATACAACGGTTTTCTTATGCTTGAAGGTAATACTTAGTTGTGAATCAACCTGTAGTTGATGAAGAAAACATTGTTTGCTCCAACGCTCGAAAAGTCAGTTCGGTGCTTTTAATTTACCCTTACCAGCTGCAAGTTGATAACTGGCAAACTGTTTCACTCGCCCAACAGCCCAACAGTTTTTTTAGGATATTATAATTGTGCTCTTTCCTTGAAGGCAACTGCCTCTCGTCAAAGAACCAACCGAAAGATTCGTGAAAGTATTTTAAAAATATTTTCAAAATTTCTGCCAAGTAGGCATCCGACTATTGTCGAAATTCACTTTTATTATACGTTCCAATTTTACCGATATAATGTCAACATTAACTTATTTTGCTTCCCCAACACAGGCTTGCAGTTTTAATTTAGTCAACTTTATGATACTGTTACTAAAACTTCTCTGTGCAAGAACCACATTTGAATTCAAAATCTCTGAAAGAGCTCGAAAACATGCAACTCCTCTATATTTTAATTTGCAGACGATCTTTTATGAATATCAGTGAGCACCATTTCCAGTTCTCTCTTTAAAACGTCTTTTTTCGACAGGTAAATACATGGACAAAATGCATGCTAGTAATCGCATGGGTATGGAGAACCAGACATTTATGAAGGTGGCTGCTATTTGCACATGGCTTGGGGATTTCATTACCGCTTGGATGGTCACAGATATGATGCTACAGGTAAATAATTCATATTTTGCCCTTGAACGCCCGAGTAGGTGGGGAACCGAGCTCTATAGAGACACTGACACATTTTCCATGGGTTCATTCTGAAGAAAGGTGAAAGGAAACAAGCTGAAACATTTCATCAGGTATAAAAAGGCTTGTTAAAGCTAAGGAAAACTTGAAACAGTCGGAAAACTCATAATTTCTAGTTCTCCCATACTTAGCTACTGTGAATCTTCAGAGAAACGTGCAGCCGAGCTGAGATGGGTTATTGTTGTTATAACTTTCAGTAAGAGGTTATGAGGAGCACCCATCCATTCTAATTTAAATTTTATTTTCACGTTTTCACTCAATTCCTGTCCACACAGGGAGCGCAGTATGCGCACTGGGCCCCAGCTCTCCGCCGATTTTGGAAGCAGGGCTTGAACCGGGTGTACGCGTTTTGGTTTGTGTTCGTTTCCATGACAATAGTGGTCAGCACAGCAATTTCTACAGACTATGTGAATTGGGACAAAGTGAATAGAGACTTTGTTGCGTCCAATGAGCTGGCACGGGCATTTCTGGCTTCGTTCATTCTTGTTATGGACTTAATGATAGTTATGCAGGTTGGTTCAAATTATGACAAAAATAAATCTCGTTTACGATCTGTTTGCATCTCATGCTCATGTCGCCTCATTCACTGTTCCTGAGTTCGACTAGCTTACATTTGCTTTACAACTGTCAGCTATTTCGGTGTAGTGTATAAGTAACTTTTTTTTGTTGGGTTAGGGCTCTTTGACTCCTTCTTGAATCTCGTTCTACGTCGACTAGAGATGTTTCTTCTTGTTCAAAGAATCCTGTCATTTCTAAACCGCTTATAAAGTTATACGTGAACTAGGGTTATGCTTACTTGGAGGTCGGAGGCACCACATTACGCTGCATTTGCGCAATTTGATGCAAGAATTTACTCCTGTTGTTAACATTCCGTATGTACCTTTTTCAAGGATTGGGATTTTCCCCACTTTGCTGGTTCGCTGGACATCAAACTACCGGGAGTCAATTCAGACGCTTTCGATGTTCGCATTCCTGGCTGTTGTGGAGGTAAACCGCTGGACATTTACATCACGGGCAAATGGTTCAACTACGGGATAATCTTCATTGTCATGATCTTAGATCTGAACATGTGGAAAAATCAGATCTTCTACGAACCGTTCGCTTACGGCCAATACACAGACTCAGAGGGTTATATCTACAGCGTATCTGATAGACAATTCCTGAGATGGGGAAACAGAACTCTTATGACTTACGAATGGCGCTGGAACCACATCAATCCGAAAACTAACGGGACTTACGGACTCGAGGACCTACGTATGAATGCTAAGTACAAAGGGTATTCTTTAACGCTGAAGAGTATCGCTTTCGTGCCGTCAATTCTCGCCTTCTGTGTCTTTGGTTATTTGTTGTGGCTCTTCGGATTAGAAGAAAACCCGGATGAAGTCTTAGTGCGCAGGTATCGACGTGATGTTCGACATCACAGGCAAATGAAGCGATTGAGAAAGAAGAAGAGAATGGAAGAGAGAAAAAACAAGGCGATGGAGGAGGGGGAGGAAAGGGTAAGTGGACTGCTTTGCTCTTGGACGACTTGTGTATTCTCTAAGTTGAAACCAGCATGCAACGGGGTGTCATGAGGCTGAATTGTATCAACGGGTAGATAGAAGACAAGACTAGTTTTAAAAGGATCACTGAAAGACGAGTTTGTAGCCGAGCATTCATACCTGTCTTGACGTGCAGTTCCGTCCTCCGCTCTGATTGACATCTGAGATGCGTGGGATTGGCTGTCACTTAATCGTCGCGAAAACTAAAATAAAAACCGAGTAACAACGCCTCACAACTTGTACACAGCAGTTAGGTCTTTCAGGTCGAATGACAGACGTCTTTCAAGCGAGGTAAATATTTGGAGCGCGACGAGGCTGGAGTCTGTTGTTTTGGCTCTTTGAGTTTATTCTGTGTCCACTCATTTTTTACATAAGTACTTCATATCTTTCTTTCTCCAGCCACGTCCGTTTATAATTAATGATGGACGAAGCATTGCAAGCTTGCCTGTTTCCGCTGATGGGCAGCGAGGTAGAAAGGAGGAAATTATAGACATGAATCTTGTTTATGGCGAAACAGCGGATGAGAATGAAGAAGCTGTGGATTCGGGCCAAGGAGAGCAGAAGAAACCGGAAGTGAAAAGGAACTTTGTTTATTACTTCCGGCACCCTTACTTCCGCATTACTACGTCGTACTTGGTCGTGTTTTGCAACTTCTTGATCTTTGCTGAGGACCCAGTCTCCCACAGCTACACGGATTGTGTTATTGACATCATTGGCAATATGTATGCGTTCGTATTTTCAAGGTAGGTTGTTTACCACATCTTTTGTGGTAACGAAATATTTGTTCAGG